GACAAAGTGAGACTCGGTCTCTAAAAATAAACAAACAAAAATAGCCAGGTGTTGTAGCAGGCACCCGTAGTCTCAGCTACTTGGGAGGCTGAAGCATGAGAATTGCTTAAGCCCAAAGAGTTCTAGGTTGCTGTGAGCTATGACACCACAGCGCTCCACCTAGGGCAACATAATGAGACTTTGTCTCAAAAAAAAAAAAAAAGAAAAATGTGATCAGTCAAATGCCCCTTAAGCAAAGAACTGAAGTCATGTGACATAATCTTTGGCATCTGGAACGTTGGTTTGGTTGCAGCAGGAAAAGTGCAAATGTAAAAACCTCAAGTCTACAAAACCTCAAGGTTGCAGGCAGTGGGTGTTACCAGCTAAAGCAGTGGGAGGGCAGGAGGGGTCTGTGGCTCAGACCCTGCCACCACTCCCACCCAGGTAGAGAGGGGTGTGGGTACACTGTCGGGGGAGGTGAGATGTACCTGGGAAAGTCAGGTAGGAAGCTGAGTCCCTGGAGGCAGCATTTGGAAAGACCAAGCAGGGGCCCCTGGAAGAGATGGGAGGAGGCCGAGGAAGAGGAAGCAGCAGCCATGTGGTTTTTCCTCCATGATGCTAGGATCAGTAGCTATAGTTTGGAGTGGTCTCTGCTCAGCTCAGTGAGCCCACCGAGGGCAGGGATTCCACACTCTTCCCTGCAGAGTGGTGGAGAATGCACATGCCCTTGGAGGGCAGGTGGGACCTGGTCAGAGACAACTTACAAGCCAGCTCCATATAGTGTCTGGGAGCAAACTGCTTGAAGGAAAACCTGAGCCCAGGCAGAGGTGGGACCAGGGAGGCAACACCACTTGTGCTTCATTGCCTCCTAGCGCAGGACTCTCACACACTGGCCCACTGTGTTTTATAAGACTCGAGGTCACACCCTATGCCAATGGGATGTGCTAGAATCCTCCATGTCCAGGGCTTGGCCAGTCCCTCGGGGAACCTACATCCCTGTGAACTGGCCTCACCGGTTGCAAAGCGGCTTGTTTTCCCTCTCAAGTTTACAAAAGATAATTACATAGATGTGAAGGACCCTCTTGCTACCCCACCCAAGAATCAGATCTAAACCATCAGAGTACCCAAGAGGACACCAGCTCAGGGCCTACCACAGGCAGCTCATGCTGCAGAGGCTGAGGCCTGGACGCTGGATAAAAACACATTTCTCCACCTCTACAGAACAAGCAGAGCCTCCCATCCACCCAGAGCTACACAGCACCTCCAGATTTCCTACTCACCTGCTCTAGAAGCACCGAGGCCGGCTTCAGAGGGGCACAAGGCCCTGGACTCAGTGCTCTGTGGCTGCAGCTCCCAGCCTGCCCCAATGCCCCAGCCAACCTGGGCTGGCAGGTGTATGGAGGCTGACAGTCTCACCAGATTCTCCAAACAAGGGAAAGAGCATTTTGTTTTGTAACACACAATTCTTATTTCCCATTATAGGCAGAATACAACAAATTAGTCACTTTTATTTAAAAGAAACATACAAATAAGTGTGCAAAATTAAACTTCATGATTAAATACACATAAAAGTAACATGCATACTTTACATCAAAGTCACATACAAAGTTAGTTGATTACAAGACAGTAAAGGAACTGGCAAAACAGAGAAATTGCTGCTATGCAGATTTTAAATGTTTGCAACCTGAAATCAAAACCATAAAATTAAGTTGCTTTAAAGGGAATTTAAGAAAATTAAACATATATTTCAAGTAGTTGAGAACATAGAGCCCATAACCTACTTTAGTTACCAAATGTTAAAGTTCTGTGCCTTTAATTCCCAAATGTTAGTGTATAGCTACTCCTGTAAATGCTGGGGACAGAGAGTGAGGAGGGACATGGAGACACAGGCTGGCCGAGGCATTTCCCGCCACACTGATAGGAGCTGCCAGAGGACGCTCTGGAGTACTGCTCTGTGGAAATGTCCCACTAAGTTGTCGCTTTCTTCTATGACTGTTTACTACTTTGTTCCCTACATGTAACAGGGAAACTCAATTTTAATCCAGAATTTATCCAGGAGACCCTGCCATGCCCTAACACTGCCCAAGCCCAAGGACGGCTGCTCTGCTTCCTGGGTGCACCTGGTGTCTGCCACAAGTGAGTGGCACGGACAACCCTGGCCCAGGCAGAGAGGAGCGTAGCCTGGGCTGAACAGGGGAGACTTCCACACCATGGCCCCTCAGCAGGACTCCTGTTTCTTCCCATGTTCAGATGGGTAAAGGAATTCCTCTCTCCTTTTCTAAGGCAAGCTGCTGGTGTTCTATTTAAATCTGCTTAGAATGTAAGAACTACATTTACACACTTGTTCATTTCCCCACTGTAGATGCAGTAAAAATGATGGAATCTGTTACAAAAACAAACCTCAATGAGTCCATCCTCTCCACCCAGCCCCCACATCTGCCGGGAGCCCCGTCACCATATAGGTGCAGCCAGCCTCAGAATGCCTCGAGTGAGCAAATGAGAGACAGCTGGCAGTTGGCATGAACGCTGAGCATCTGTGGTGCCTTGATGATAATTCTCTCTGTAATACTGGAAATGGAAAGTCTTTCTAAGGAAAGCAAACAACCACATATGGCTTTGAGACCAAGATCCCTGGAAGCCCCTCCAGCCTGGGGCCCAACAGGCCTGGGCACAAGCCCCCGGAGTCTGCAGGGGAACAGCCAGTGCTGGCATTAAGCTCACAGATGGAGTCACAGCTTGTCGTCGGTCATCTCCAGGAACTGGGCATAGACATCCCGGATGCATTCCCCCTTGGGGTTGAAGAGGAACTTGTAGTAACTGCCATCTGCACAGATTGCTGGGACAGAGGAGACCACTTTACTCACATGTTTCTTCCTCCTAAGTTAAAAGCTAAACATTCTCGGCTCAGTGCCTGTAGCTCAAGCAGCTAGCAGCCACATACACCAGAGCTAGAGGGTTCAAATCCAGCCTGGACCCACCAAACAACAATGACAACTATAATCAAAAAAAAAAAAAACCAAAAAGTAGCCGGGCATTGTGGCAGGCACCTATAGTCCCAGCTACTTGGGAGGCGGAGGCAAGAGAATCACTTAAGCCCAAGAGTTTGAGGTTGCTGTGAGCTGTGATGCCACGGCACTCTGCAGGGTGACAGCTTGAGACTCTGCCTCAAAAAAAAAAAAAAGGCTAACCATTCTCACTGAACGACAAACTACAAACAGCCTCTGGGAGCTGAGGAACTCCTTTGTGAGTCACCCTGCCCTCCCTTCCTGACCACATGCTTTCTAGGGAGCATATTAACCTTCTCAATCAACGCTGGCCAGAGGAAAAAAGCATTCTTTGGTTATCTGCACAAAAAACAAAAGATCTGTCTCCATGATTTCCCAGGGAAACTCTGTAGAGTGTGGCCTGGGACACCAGGTGCACACAGAAGGAAGGCAAGCAGCCAGGACTGCACAGGGCAGGAAGCCATGTGGATGCTGGACCTGAGGCTCAGTGCATGGACTTCAGAGCCCAGGTGAGGGGCTAGAGGAGGGTCATTCTCCACAGGAAGGACAACTCACCAATGACAGCGTTGGGCTCTGTTCCAAAGGCACAAATGCACGGAGAGCCTGAGGGAACCTGAAACTTGGAAAAACTCCATTTGGAACTGAAGTATTTTGGAAGGAAACTGGCTGACGCCAAGCTGTAAGGACAATGGAGAAAGTGGCTATATTAACAAAGTTTAAAGACACAGAAAGCCACCTGCTTAAACCCAGAATGCTACTTTTTAAAATTTAAAGTAGTTTCTTTAACATACTTTTAAGCCTGAATGACTTCTTAGAAAATTTCTATTGTTGCTTTTAATCTTTTATTTCTCACCCGAAAACACTGAGTCCTTAGAATGGTTCTGTAATAAAAGTAGACCTTGTCAACATTAAAAGGGGCAACGGTTTCTTGGGCCATCAAATTAATCTTCTGAACATAGTGAACAGAGAGCACTGAGCTCAGCAGTAAGCTCTGACTCCTTTGGATGGTGCCCGACCTTCACAGAAGTAATGATCCACTGTTTGAGAGCAAACGGTCTGCACTGATTTTCAAACCCCAACAAAAATCTCATTAATGTTAGCTGAAAAATGCCCCCCCCCCCTTAACTTAACTCTGTCCACATTGAAGCAATTGTTAATCCTAATCATTGGGTGCTTTCCCCACCACCAGACCCCCTAAGACGTACCTAGACTGTTTATTCCTTTTTGGATCTTCAGCTGCAAAAATGTGCACTGTGCCGTGATCACTGGAGACGCAGATGAGGGAAGCATCCTGATTGAAGTTAATGCTGCAGACAAGCCAGACCAAGATCAGAAAGACAAGACCAAGACACTAGAGTCCAGAGACCTGATCTGCACAATGCACTTCAGCTTGGAGACTGCAAGGCACCAAATCTAAAATCCACGACTTTCAAGTCAGGTGTGGTCCCAGCTCCTTCGGAGGCTGGGACAAGAGGCTCCCACCTGAGCCCAGGACTTTGAGGCTTTGAGCTGTGACTACACCACTGTACTCCACCCTGGGTGAAGGAACCAAACTTCACTTCGCTAAACAGAAAACCCCAACCTTTCCTGCACAACCCAATAGCCATCACCATGGAGCCAGAGGATCAGACCACCAGACTACAGAGATAATCCAGTATGTCCAATGCAGCAGCAACTCTCCTGGGGGTGCAGGACAGGTGAGGGCCCCTGCATGCTCCCTCACATACTCCAGAGACTCCAGTGAGAAAGACTCCTGTGCTCCCTGACCCCTTGAGGGGTCCCCTGGGCTAGGGCAGAACCGGCCACGTACAGCCTCACTCCTGGGAGCAGACAGCCTGCTGCATAGTCCATTGCCCAGAACCCCCCAAGGAAGCCCCTAAATGTCACCCCATAGACCCAAATGCTGCTCAACACCTGCAAAGGCCACAGGAGCAAAGACATCAGTACCAGGGCTTTGGCTCAGGCCATGGCCACAACCACTGGTTGAGAAAGCAGTGCGGCTTCTCACTTTGCAGCAGACCAGAGCCATCCCAGACATACCAGCAAGTTCTCTAGCATTTGCTCACATCCTTCAGAAAAGGGAAATGGGACGCTGGTAAGAGACGGAACAGAACACATCTTGACAGATGTCGGAGGAGGCTGATGGTTAAGGACAGTTTGTATAATATTCTTTCTACTTCTATGTCTATTTCCCATGATGAAAAATTAAAATTAGTCATAATAAAAAGCTGAAAGCTGGGTGCAAGTGGCTCATGCCATAATGCTAGCACTTTGGGAGGCCGATGTGGGGGGACTGCTTGCGGTCAGGAGTTTGAGACCAGCCTAAACAACATTGCAAGACCTTGCCTCAACAAAAAAATAGAAAAACTGGCTGGGCACCTATAGTCCCAGCTACTTGGGAGGCTGAGCCCAGGAGTGTGATGTTACTGTGAGCTGTGATCATACTGCTACACTCTAGCTGAGGCAAAAAGCAAGACCCTATCTCTCGAAAAAAAAAATAGGAAAAAAACTCTAGCTCCTGACAGTCCACCTCTCCCCCACCTCCTGGGAGGGGGTATCTGACATCCCCTCAACTCCCACAGGCCCCTTTCTATGCCATCAACCCAAAGCAATGGCTCTTGTCTGGGTAAAATTAGTTGCCTCCTTACCAGTAAATATTAGCTGCTTGAGATCCTCTTCGAAGTTCCTGGATTAAATGCCCTGATGAAGTATCAAATATTCTTATAAGGGTCCCCTTTGAAAAACAGTGAAGTGTTTCATTATCAAAGAATCGCAGCATTTCAGCTAGTTTTCGACATGATGTATATTTGTGACCCATAGCCCATACCCTTCCCAAAACTCACCCCACCATCTGCTCCACTTTCCCCTCTGTCTGCTGAACCCCCAAGAGTGGGCTAGCAGCTCCCCATTTCCAAGCACAGGGCAGTGGTCAAGAAGGTGTGCAGGAGATAATCTCCTGGCAGGGCAGCCTAGATCAACCCAGAGCCTCTATTCCAGTGGCTGACACCCTAGAGTAGCGGTTCTCAACCTGTGGGTCACAACCCCTTTTTAACAATGAAAATACGCTGCGACATTAGGAAGGTTGAGAACCACTACCCTAGAGAGACACCTCCTCCAAACGCTCAGACCAACACTCGGACATAAAGTGACAGACTTAAACTGTCCCTGCAACCTCAGGGAAGGACTGAGTCCTCTCTGGTTTCTGTTTTTGACATCTCCCCCAACATGAAGCGGATCCCTTAGCTGATTCTGACAACTGGGGAACTATGAGATGCTCCACCTTTTGTGGAAAGTTATTTGAGCACATACAGGAATACAGGAAATACCTATTCTCAGCTCAGCAGCTCTACTCCTCGGAAGCCTGCAGGGGGCTGGCTCCAGGGGACAAGAAGGAAACACCTTCCGGCACTGTCACGTCAGCTACAACCCACAGACACCCACTATTTAGTTAAAAGAGCAGGTAGGAAGGTACATATACAACCCACACTCATAAATGGGACTGTTTCTACAAAGGTGGCAGGAGGCAAGGATAGAGAAGCTAAAGGCAAAAAGGATACGAAAAAAACATACTAAAAATACAGAAGAATCATTCATGAATTTATACAGGATTATATTTATTGCTAATGTAACATTCTAAAGAAGAATATCTAGGGCGGTACCTGTGGCTCAGTGAGTAGGGCGCTGGCACCCCGAGGGTGGTGGGTTCTAACCGTCCCCAGCCAAACTCTAACAAAAAGTAGCCGGGCACTGTGGCAGACGCCTGTAGTCCCAGCTACTAGGGAGGCTGAGGCAAGAGAACTGCCTAAGCCCAAGAGCTAGAGGTTGCTGTGAGCTGTGATATCACAGTACTCTACTAAGGGCGACAAAGTGAGACTCTGTCTCAAAAAATAATAAAATAATAAAAAGAATATCTAAAAATAACCTCTTCTTAGCCAAGTCCTAAGAAGAACAGGATTTGCGACTACATGGCTCTTGTCCAACACTACTGAGAAATGACCCCCACAAGGCTGACGCTGATCTCTAGCAGGCCCATGGTGCACTGCAGAGTGGCCTGGCTTCAGTCTCTCCTTCAGTCACATTAGGTGGGGACTACAGCCCACCTATCTAACTTTAATGGACTGTATCCTCCAATGGACCCAACAGCTGGCTTGTGGCCTCACCCTATTTAAGTTTATAATTTCCCACAAAGTGACACTGAGCTTGCAGTCTTAAATGAAAACTGTAATAAGTACCAGTTTTCATGAAAAACTACATTTGATAAGAAACTGGAGTATGTACTTTTTGCTTCTTTTTAGTATTTTTATCACATTTCACAATGTATTTGTTTGCAAAGAATTGGAAATAAAACTGATTCTTTGGCACAGATGATCTATGAAGACCTGGCCCAGACCCCCTCAGGTGACAGGACCAGCCAGGACCATAGGCCATGGGGCTCCAGACTGGGCCAGTTCGCCACCTCTAAGCCCTGATACAATGAATGGCACAGTTCTCTGCACAGAATGCAGCACACCAGTAAGGGGAGGGGCACACACTCACTTTTTCAGATGCAGTCGCAATTCTTGTTCCCTGCAGGTTGAGAGCAATGCAGCTCAGGACACCTTCATGTGCAGGAATGTCTACGGGAGGTTTCTCTGTGCTGGCCAGATCCACAAGCTGCACATGGCCTGTATGCGTCCCAGGGAAGGCCAGCAGGGAATTGTTACTATTGGGACACAGGACACAGAGGCCTAAACAGACAGAGAAAACCTATCAGGAAATAACAATTGACTTTAAAACCTCTGATTTCCCACAATCAAAACCTACTCTTTGCCCTCAAGTCCTCAGGAAAAAATATTGATAATTATTCAATTTTCATTTATATCAGAATCACAAAATCAATTTAAAGACTTTTTATTGT